AATGCCTCCGCAGTGCTATAGCAGAGGGCATCATCCTGGAAGATGCATCTAGGCCATGCTTTGAAGTGTTGATCTGCTGCTTTGCCAACACCATGCCCTCCCTTTGAATGACTCTGGCTGCCTGAAGCTTGTCTTCTGGGAGGTGGGTCAATAGTTCGGAGAACCTTTCCCAGAGAGTATATTGATACCTGCTCATCCAGGCCAGATAGTGGTTTTGACACCCAATGCTCCGGTGGAGTAGAAGCGTCTGCCGAAGGCGTCCAATTTTTTACTTTCTGTTTGAAGGTGCAGAGTGTGCTTGTTTAGATTTTGAGGAGGATGTTACAACCATTGAGTTTGGTTGAGGATGGGAGAATAGGAATTCGGCCCTTGTCTCTTGGACTCTGTACATATGGTCCAGTCGTCTTGTCGACACGGGGGCTGACAAAGGTTTCTCCCATGGTGCCTTTGTAGCTTGCAAAAGGACAGTGGACATGGGTAATGCCAGAGTGGAAGATGTATCAAGCTGGACGATGTCAAAAACCGCACCCATCACGTGCGGGTGTTGCTGAACGACAGAGAGGCCTAGAGAATGGGCCATTCTTTTAACAAGATCTGTGTACGACGTGAGATTGTTGGATGGGGAGATGGGCAAATCATCAGCAACAGCTTGATTAGGAGACATGATCAGGGGAGGTGTGAGCCTCAGATGCTTCGGTATCGGAATTGTCTTCCATTGAATCGGAGGATTCCTGGTGTGGCATTTGGACAGGAGTGTCCTGTTGACCAGTTAAAGGTCTTGGTGGAACGACAGGGGTGGAAACGACTGGGGTTTGGACCACCTGAGGGTTGGGAGGACAACTGTGTTCCAAGTTATGCTGGGAAGGATCGTCTGCAGGAGAACGAAAGAGAGATGCTGAAGGTCTCAACCTGTAGGGCGATCTCGATCTATGAGCAGAGTGGGATGAATATCGATCCCAGTCAGAATAGCCCACCGGAGTCAACCATGGCAAGGATGGTGGATAAGCCCCATACAGATACCTTATCTGTCGTTGATCCCAAGACAGAGGTGGTGGCGGGGGTAAGAAGACTCGCGGGGATCGACTTCTGGACCATGGACGTCTCGGAGACAAAGCGGCAGCCTGTCTTTGAGAGGAGCCCGTATAATCTTGGTCGTCGATATCGACAGATTGACCGTGCAGACGTGGAGGGTGACGCTGCGTGTCACATGAAGTATATCGGTGCCGATGTGGATCGATGTCGGGAGCTTCCGATACCATCGACGTCGATGACGGGGAAGGAGACGGAGAAGACTCTGCATCCATTTGATGACTTAGGAGCCCTCCCATTTCGATGTCAGAGTAAGGACGCTCCATTTGGTGAACAGGGGAGTCCAAGGCATGGATGGTCGGTATCAGTGGAGGGGGTTGGGCCTCCGATATCGATACTGTCATTAAAGCAGGAGGCACTTTAGGGGCATCACCCAGTGCAGCCACCGCTACTTTCCCCTTTTTTGCCACCTTAAGGGGTTTGGAAGAGCCTTCTTTGTGGACTTTTCCTTACTTGGCCTGGACTTCTTTTTCACCGGAGTGGAAGCAGAGGATTGCGTCTTCTATGCCGGAGGCTTCGGTGTTGGTTGGCCGATATCGGAGGCAGGCCTCGATGCCGGAGCCGTTGAGGTAGATAGTTTCTCAGCGTCCATCGCTGAGGAAGAATGTAGGGCCGATTCAAGCAAGGCCACTTTAAGGCGCGCAGCTCAGTTTCTTCGGGTCTGGTTTGAAAACCGAGCACAGTGGCGACAAGATTCGGGTTGATGAGACTCTCCGAGACAAAGAATGCAAAGGGTATGACGGTCAGGAGGAGCAAGTTTACTACTGCAACCCTTGCACCTATTAAAAAAGCCCCACTTCTTCTCCATAAAAACCAAAGTGAAGAAGAAAGGGGGGGAGGTAGCCCAAAGGCCCGACTGAGGTAAATCGGCAAACTCCCCGTCAGCAGAAAATAAAGTTTGTGGGTTTTTAAAAAGTTTTTGAAAGAATAACGATTAAAAGGAATGAACTGAGGAAAAAAATCCAAAGAGCCGTGAGGCAAAAAGGCAAAATACTAAACCGATCAGACCGACAAAGAGGTCTTTCCAACGCGGCGGTAAGAAAGGAACTGGCAGGATGTCCGCACCCACCCCTCTGGGCATGCGCGGTGGGGTTTCTGCGCATGCCCAAGGGACTGGGTGCGAAAATCCATTAAAGAGCTTGCTACAATGCCGATCGATCCAGCACGTGCGCACTAGATCCCATGGGTGTGAAGCACAGAGACCACGTTGAAGATCTTTACATTTATCCTCATTAAAATTATTGAATCAGTTAAATGAGCAAACTGGTTCCTGCAGGAACTGAAACCTGTAACGTACATACTGATTGACAGCACTCAGTGGAACAGGTATACAAGACTGCTGTGAATTTACCTTGTCTGACCCAACAGTATGAGCTCGTGGGAAATATTTGTAAGGCTGTCGAGCTCTCCTCATCAGTTCAGCATCTGGAAAGACTTTTGAACTTTGTTATAATTCAGTAGCCACAAAGAACAGAGAAGAATCTGTCTTCAGATTTGTGTCAAGCCATCTCTCCACTCTTCCTGAGGGGGACACACCATCTCACAATCACAGTTAAGTCCCTACCGGACAAGTGAACCAGAAGGGTTGAAAATATGACTGCTCACTGTAGTCACTGGAGGAAAAAGTACTGTGGGCAGTGCATATGCTAGCACTGCAAGCAAAGGCTGTGATACCTTGGCTACATTTCCCCCAACATGGGTACTTTTCCCAGAAGAATTTTCAGGCTTTTGAATGATGTTTCTCCAAACTGTGTACAATCCAGTCCAGTCACAAGTGACACCCTTTTCGGCATGTTTTTATGTACAGAAGGGACATAGTCAGAAATGAACTGCTTTCAACAGCATCTACAACTGGGGAAAGGCGGCGGCTGCCATCCAGCACGGTTAATTGTAACCTTCTCTGACAATTGGCGATCCGCCGTTTCTCCTTCCTGATCCACTACTTAGCCCAACCAACCATCCTCCAGCAGTGCCCCAGCAAGGGAGGAACGACTCCCATTGGTCCACAGGAGTCTGCTGGCTTGTGGCAATGGCCCACCGTTATATTGGTGCCATGAGGTTACTTTAACTAGTTCAGAAACTTTCCACAAGGTTATCATGCTGCTTTTTGCCACAGCCTGACAGATGAAACAGTCCAATTCCTATATACACAGTGAACAATTTCTCACAAATTCAAGCTTCAGCACCAAAATGATTCAAGAATTTATTAAGTCATACATGCAAAACATACTGCTAAATCGCATTACCAAAAAGATCAAATGTAAAAACTTCACAATCTTGCAAACTCCATATATATTTTGTTCTAGTAGTTGAAAGGTTGTAATTCATTGTAGTGTTCCTGCCAGCGTTTGAGATGTACAGAACGTTGTTAGCACTCGGTTACAGAACCTCACAGACCCAGTGACTGTTACTAGATCAAACAGGATGTATGCATTCATGGTGATGTTAAAAGGACAGCATCAGAATTAGTAAGGTTACTGTGTCAGGATACCTGGCAAATGGTGACATTTAAGAAAGGTAATCAAGGTGGTAAAGTATTAAAAAAATTACTAGAACTGGTAAAGCTGCTGCACGTGATTTTTACACCAAGTCACTTAAAGACTAAAAGAAAGCTCCTCAGAAGCATGTATAATATTGGGGCAGAAAAAGAAAAAAAAGGCTATGCTTGAACATTCTAACCTACCGAAAATAAAAAGCAAATATAATCATTTTTTTTTGAAAATACAAGTTATATTGCTCAATAGAAAGAGAATCTACAAGGAAAAAAGCCACTAGTGAAAAACCAGTGTGTGTGGGGGGGAATAATGACCAATCTAAAATTGCAGTACATGAATGCCCTACTGGGAAATGCAAATGAGTAAAGACCAGCCTCCCTCAGCTACTGCTTAGTTGCAATGAGGGTTTCATTTTACTGTGTGTTTCCCCCCCTGCACAACAGAAAATCTATTCAGCTCAACTATTTTGTAGTGTAAAGTGATCTGTACACAGGAGTCCAAATACTGTCGGGCAACCTCTCTTGGTCGATGCAGCCATCCCACACAATATACTGCTGTCAAGGAAGTTAAGAAGTTTCACAAAGAGCATCAGTCCTTAATAGGCAGGAAAGTATTTCGGAAGAGGGAATTCTGGCCTGCTGTCCGTTATTGCATTTGCTCAGGCATGACCGAAGATGCTATGCAATGACCATCAGTCGGATGAATGTGTTAAGACAGCAGCCGTTTGCCCTAATGATTTCATTATCCGGGAGAAAATAGGACTATAAAGTTTTGCAATTCCTAATACACATTAGTTATCTTGAAAGGTGCTTGTTTGCCTTTTTTAATATAAAACAGGTTTTGTGCTCTGTAGACAAAGCACAGTAATGCAACAGAGATGAGCAGATAATTTGGCAACACGTGATTAATCTGAGCAAGAGGACTTGGGGAAAAATAAGGCTTTTATATAAGTTTAACCTTTTTTTAGGATCTCTTTAGTAGAAGGAGAAAAGAAATCTAACCCTTTAGACAAAGGGGAACATGAAATTGATTGGTTCAAAAAAAAAGTAATGGAAGAGAACTAATTTTTAGACAGAAGAACTTGGCATTGGTGTGAATGCTCCAATGTTCCGAGCAAAGCACAAAAGGTTCTGAGAGGGGGCAGGATGGGGAGCAGTGACATTACAGCAGCAGGCACTTTCTCTTCCTCTTCTTTACGGGAGGGGGGCAGAGAACTGCCCGGATGGCTTCGTCAAAGACTGTCTTGAGGCCTCGCTGTGTAAGTGCTGAGCATTCGAGGTATTTCACTGCACCTGCGGAACACAAGCAAGGTGTGAGGAGCAGGCAGATCAGAGAAAACCACTGAGGAAAACCAAACACCCCAGCCCCACCGACTGAGTTTTGGTCAGGTTCGCATGAAGAGGTCTGGAGGAGAAGCCATACCAATCTCTTTGGCCATGGCAAGGCCTTGTGGGTAAGTGATGGGAGTCAGTTTCTTCTCCTTCAGTTTTTCAATGGTGTCTTTGTCATCTCGGAGATCCAGTTTGGTGCCCACAAGTATGATGGGGGTATTGGGGCAATGGTGCCGCACTTCAGGATACCACTGGAATAAGAAGCAAATGCATGAACAAGAATATAGAGATGCACATCCAGCCTACTGGAAACTCCCATCAACACCAGAGGAACACAAGCTTCAAGGGGGTCCAACAAGCTTAAAATCCCCATGTTAATTGTTTGCAGAGAGATACTGGGCATGAGCCAGTAACCACACACAGATTTTAATCCAATGCATAAGGAGGAAGCAACTGCAGAGAATGAGTCATTTCCCCTCTGCTGCTACCAGAGCATCGGAAGGAAACAGAAGAATTTTCAAGGCTCGGCTCTATGGCTGTTGGATCGCCAGTGCTCAGCCAGGAGGCAGAGACCCCTCAGTTCCCCCCTCCCCACCCTTGCAGAGCCCACTGCAAAAGGAGTGCTGCGCAGGAGCCCCCAGTGTTGCTGAACAGCTGGGGAAAGGATGCAGCTAACAGGAAGCATCTTTCTAGGCCCCAAAGAGCCCTGCCTCCAGATTACCTCCTAGTTCTCAGTTTGGCTTGAGTGCTCAAGCAGTTGGGTGAGTCTGAGTCTGCAGGGCGCTTGGAGGTGCTGAAAGGAGGTTACTCTGCTCATTCGTCTGGTTTTTACACTTCCAGATAACTCCAACACTGTATTTCCTTTGGGATGTGCATAATAATATAAGAGCAGCCCTGTATTCTCTGAATATCCTGAAGAGCCACCAGTTCTACTGCAACCAGCATGACACTTGTCATTGGCTTTCACAGTGCCAAAATTAGAATAAAATGGCAGAATTTACTAGCAGTTCCTCGGGGAGGGAGGGGGGCTCAAGATTTTATGGAGAAAAAATGGCAGAGTAGCCTAAACGATCAACATGTGGCACCCCAACATCTATCTTGGAAAAAAGTTTTTGTATTTTTTCAGCAAGTTATTACTTTTCAAAGGGCGCAAGTTTGCAACAAATGTATTCCCAACAGTGTATATTTCAGAACACCAGACAAGAAAGTTTACACGGGAGTTTCCTTTTCCAAAAGGTAAACATTTTGCTTCACCCATGGACTTTTAAAAAATTGTTTGCCGTTGTAAGTACAGTTCAAAATTCACAAAAGGCATCCTAATAAAAAGACACCTTGTTTCCACTTACCTTTGCGCGGACATTTTCAAAGGATGCAGGGCTCACAAGGGAGAAGCAAATTAAGAACACATCCTGCAAAACAGCATTTTAAGCAGCTCAGTCTCCAGCAGTTACTTTCTGGGTTTAATACTTTTTCTATATAACCAGGCTTTGAGCTCCACCGGTGGAGACTTCCAGTTACCAATGGATAACATAAAAGGCAAAATGGGAGCCTTCTACAAAACCTCCCCTCTTTGGAGTTCAAGATGGGCCACCAGAAAATGGGAGGAACCCACTTACCCTACCCAACTACGTACTGTACACAGCACGTAGAGCATTGTCTGGCGGTGCTAAGAGGTGTTACCTGGAAAACATAGCTGTTTAACATGACGGTCTTTGAATTCCAGTACACCAATGGTATTCCACAGCACTCTTCACAGAGCTCACCTCTAAACCCACTTACTTGGAAGTCCCATTGTGTTCAAACAGGATTTACTTCCTAGCTGGGCACACTGGGATTCTTCACTTAATTTAAGGGCACATCCCATCTTCACCATTATGCAAAAAAGTGTTGCTCCTTCAAACTCGGTGAGGCTCAACTGATGCCTCCATGCCCAGTCACCAACCCCATCCCCCTTCTTCTTATACCAGAAGAGCACTCTGGTACTCTTTGGGGGCTTGGGCTAAAAGAAAGGCACTCTTGGTTTCAAGGAGGGGGGGGGAGAGACAGAACAGGTGAGAGCAATCACAGAAGACAAGCCACTGGGAAATTTACCTAAAACTATGCCCAGCTCAAAGTGAGCATCCAGCCCCCAACCAGGTCTACACAAACAGGCAGGTAAGATGGTTAGGCTGTCGTTGGACTAGAGGTAGGGGAAAGTCACATGACTGAATGCTCCCATATATTAAAAAACAAAACGGAGAAACACCCACCAGGTATAGGAAGTTACTGTTTACAGGGACACACTTCTAGCTTTCTATGCCTGGTGGCTTTCCCCCCTTTGGACAATGTTCAGACATGCGACTCCTCACCTGTAGCTTGACAAAGTACCAGGGACTGCTGTACCTCCTCACTTGTTCCACATAGTTGACCAAATTCAACTTGCTGCTTTAAAGTTCTTTCAGATCATTTTAACCAGAAAGGTTCTGACACTCCATTTCAGAACATTTGATCTACTTTGCTTGTCTGCAAATGCCAGCATAAAAGCATGGTTTAGAGTCCCTTATTCCTGGGTTGTTATCTGCCAGCATTGCTAGTCTGAGGTGCTAAAACAGTAGTTTAACTCAAGCCAAAGCCACAAACACTTGCCATTCCACTCCCACACATCTCCAGAGCCTTGCAAAAGATGTTCGTCTGTGTCATCTGATAGGAAAACGCACAATTTCTGCTCTAGCCCCCCCACCCAACTGTTCTCTCATTATGAGAATCAGAGGAGCATTGGGATGTTAGTTGATTGTTTGCAGCTCTAGGCCTTCCGTTAGGTCACCAGCTCGACACCGCCACAGCAAAGCACTTGCAAAGAACAGTACACATGCAACAGCATGGTGAAGCTGCGAGCTCCCAGGCTTCTCAACCAATCTCTGTCACCTATCCCAAACAGGAGAACAAAGGCTCTACCTGGAATGTTTAGGGTTTGTCCAGTAAGAGTCTGGACTGACATAACAGCTACCGACTGCCAGAATATAGTTGGCTTTTAAGCAGCATCTTCAGGACTGCTCAGCCCCAGAAGGCAATCAACAGGGCACCAGTTTAGGGCTGCAGGAGCGGAAGCGGGGAAAAGAGGAGAGAGCTTGGAGCTTAATGGTGGAAAGTTTTACATACGCATATAGGTTGCTGTTTCACCCTGGGAGTTAAATCCTTACCATTCGCTCCTTCAACCTAGTAACAGCATGAAACAACTTCAGTTAAAGTTACAAGCGACTTCGAGGGAACAACATAAGCTCTTTGCTCTTCAGACCTGTCTATTCAAGTGATTCATGTGGTACAGGCCTCCCCTTCAAGACTGCACAACAACCCCCTGTCTGCACATATCTAGCTTCTCAAGGAGAGCAGCTGTAGCTAGAATCATTTCCTGGGGCTCCTTGTTTTCAGGCAGTTCTGTGCAAGGAAGCCTTTGGGTATATGCACCCAGCTCCTATCTGCATTCCATAGCGGCACAATCCTAGGAATGCTTTGCACTGTGAAATTCATTTGACTGCAGCCTGGCTCCAAGCTTTAAGCCCACTAACAGTGAACTCCATGGAAGTTATGGGAGATTTTCCAACTAGCAGCACTAAGAACAGAGCAAAATCGATGGACTAGGGCAGTCACAGAAGTTTCTATCCAATGCACTGCTGCACAACAAAAGTGCAAAACTTTGCCGAAATTCAGAAGCGCATAAGCCGCCTGCTCCATCCCATCTGGCCCAAAGGGTCACAATGCTCTTTTCTGAAAGTGACAGACACACCTCTGAATATCTTAACTGCAAAACAGAAGAGAAGCAGCTTCGGTCTCTTTCATCATATCTTAGCCTCTCCAGTGACTCTGATGCTTGAAGAGCGACCTGTTCCCTGCTCTGTTTTGCCACTAGAGGACTCCTCTTTGGATCTGTTTTTGGCTGAAGGGCAGGCCAGCAGCTGGAGCTCGGAACAGGAGGGACGCCTACAGCAGCCTCTGGCAGCTTTTCAGTAGGGCTTAGCATAGCAACTCCACCGCAGTTCGGAGGTGTGTGTTTTCCTCATCACTTGGTGGTTGCCCCAAATGAGTCACTCTCACTCTAGAGTCTCTCTTGGAACAAAACGTCCCCCTTTTTTTGGTTTCTTTTCTGGCTCTTCTGGCACTTCTCTTGGAAGCGGTAAAATAGCCAAGGACAGGTCATTGTCAGCTGCTTGGTGTCAGGCCCAAAATTGGGGGGGGGGAGTTCTGTGGTTTTACATATATTAGGAGATGAAATAGAGTTCCCAGAACTGGAAATCTAAGTGACTCCTGAGCAAAGCCAGGAACAATCACAGAACTAAAATAATGTGGAATAGAATAGAACTTTGTTCCCTTTCTCTGAAACAGAGCTGGAAGGGACCTCAAGGGCCATCTAGTCCAACCCCCTGCACAAAGCAGGAAATTCACACCTACCTTCCACCACCCCCCCACTCCCCCTGTGACCCCTGCTCTATCCCACCTACTCTTTTGTAGACTGGACTCTACATTCTGGAGTTAAATGGAATGAAGTGTGACCTACCAATCCCACAGGACTGAACTGAGCATGAATGAGGAAATGGGCTTTATATCATGAACCTTAAGCAAACTTACAAAAATGACTAGCTTGGAGCAGTTAGCCTACCTAACACATCCCGTCAGAAAATTCTGTTCTGAACAGTTAAGCTGCATCACCACCACTACCACCCCCAATCTCCCAGCATGGCCAAAGGGCAACACGAAACTATTCAACTAGCTGCATGCACGGAGAGTGCCGATCAATTTCATCCCCTCCAAAGTCCTTCAAATGAACTTGTTTTGGCCCTGCCCAGCATTGTCATTTAAATGAGCCCCTCTGCCACAATTCATCGCTGCTACCCAATGAAAGATGAGCGCTGTCGAGTGCTTAGCGATGATAGTGTCAGACTGTGCCTGAACAGCAAGGCTAACAAAGGCTGCTTTGAGCAGGGCTCCACTTGCTGATGAAACTGTTCTGCATCCTCAGTTTATCATTTAATCATGACGGAACTCTGGTAAATTCTGGGCCTGTGTTCACATGAGCATTCCTTGGCATCAGCTGCCAGGAACTATTTGGACAAGGCATTGAGCCTCTGTGGTCCAGTGCAAATGACTAACCTGGAACTTTCAAAACCTGCTCAGTCAAGACTTAATAGCATCCCTGAGGAAAGCACTCATTTTCGAAGCAGCAAATGAACAGCTCCACAGGATAGGGAAGCCAGAGAGATTTAGAACACCTTTGCATGTTAAAAACGTAACACAAGCACAGTGATTATGGCAGCAAGGAGGCAGAAAGCTGTCGCGCTTAGGGAAGTTGGCAATTACAGCACTGGCAAATTAAGAGTTAGAGATTTAGATACAATCCACTGGGCGCTTTGCCTGCACGAGTCCCAACTGGAGTCTTGCAAGAGTACAAAGCACAATTGTGAATGTCAGGACAGCAGCTTCAGGCACGACAATCCCGCACAGCCAAATAGGTGGTTACTCTCACACTGGCTGGCAGCGCGTGATCACCGTGTCCGAAAGGAAGCTCACAGAGGCTGCCCTGTTTGTTCAAATGTGATGATTCTGCACTGCCATCTGAATATGGAAGGGACTGCAGGCTAGGCTGGCTGTGTGAGATCATCATTTGTGAAACTCGGCTACAGCAAGATAGGAAGGAAGGCACCAATTACTGTGGACGTTTTGCTCAACAACTGCTCTTTTGGAATGCCACTCACACCAGTGCTACTAGCCCTGCAATTGGGAACACAGAGGTCACCCTTTGTTCCTACGTAGCCTTGAGGGTCTGAACCAGCACACAGGACTTTTCTTTGGACCCCCCCACCTTCTACAAGCCTGCAATTAAAAGCCACAAATAAAGGCAAACACGCAGAAGTCTTGCATGACAAAAGCTTACTGTCTGTGGATAGGAGAGCGGGCGCAGTCGGTCATAATCCTCTTGTCCAGCTGTATCCCATAAGCCCAGGTTGACTGGCTTGCCATCAACCATCACATTGGCAGAATAGTTATCGAAACTACAAGGGAGAAAGAGAAGTTAGTGTGTATAAACCCTAGCTAGTTTTGGTGCTGTATGCTGGCATAAACCTCAATCTCTTTGAATCTCACTCGACAAAGAGATTCTCACCTATGTGTTGAACAAGAGAGGCTCAAAATAAAGCAAATGGGAGCTGTACAACACGGTGGTTCTGCTCTTGGGAAAATTCCCATTAATTTCAGTAATGCTACCATGGAATCCTGGTGAATTGTGTGCTTCTGTCTACACCTCACACAGTACACAAAGCACTGCATCCAGAAATTCAGGAAAATTGCCTGCTGGCTGAGCAAAATTATCACGTCTGAACAGCAGTGTTGAAATAAGGGTCGCTATACTGATCACATGGGGACTAAGAATGTTCTCAGCTATATGTACAGCAACAGAGAACAGCAGCCAATAACCACCCCCGGCACACCTTCACATAATGCTTGTAACTTTTTTATTTTAAAAGTTGTTTGTTATAGGCAAATTTCTTTAGGTACATATTTTAGAGGTACACCTCCAGCAACAGCAAGGAGCTAGAACGCCATGCAACTAGCTCTGCATGCTCAGGAGGGCTTTCAATTTGAGTTTCTCAAACACTCACATAAAAGGCTCTAAAAGGAAACTAAAGGTACAATTTGGTACCACCCACTTCATCATTTAAGCTGCCTCCTATGCAGTTCAACTTTGTTGATAAAAGATTTATGGCCGACAATAAAAGGCAGGAGACCGAGTGCTTGGGGGGGGGGAGAGCAGGAAGAGCCCCAGCCAATCCCAAACCCCTGCTCAACAACGAAGTCAAGAATTGTGCGGTCCGTCACACACCAAAGAGTGCTAGAAAAAAAAAATTAGCACTTACACAGTGGGTATGTATTCTCCAGGAAATGCATTGGTTGTGTAACTGATGAGTAGGCATGTTTTACCTACAGCACTGTGAAGAGGAAAGAAAGACGTCCAGATAAGAAACCATCCACACAGAACACGCAAGAGCACCTTCTGCCATTTGCAGGAAGACTGATCCATCAGTATTTAATGCACTTCAGAAGCGATCAATCAAAAAAAGCTTCATACTCCTCACTGGATATCTAAACCCAATTTTTGGACCTAATATAGGCCACCAAGCAGATCCAGCCCCCTAGCACCAACATACATGATTTAAATGCTCAAAAAGCTCCATACCCCAGAAAGCTAGCAGGTCGGGGGGGAAGGGTTCATAGCCTAGCCTTAGCCCTGATAACACTTGTTTTCTATGGGGAAGGAGCTTAATAAGTAATCTTCAAATATAATGTTAACCTCTTGCAGTCTGATGTGGCGCAATCTGGTAAAGGCTGTACAACTGCATACTAGATCGGCATGTTCAAACTGACCTTCCTTCAAGGGGAATAGCAGTCTCAATTGTTAGACAAGGGAAGAGAATTCTAATAATAAATATATATGCACCCAATCAAAAGCAAGCTAAATTTTTTAGCCAGATACAAGAGAAGTTAATTAATACGTCGTTTGAAGATGTGTGTGTGATAAGAGATTATAACGCAGTTTATGACCCACTAATAGACAGGAAAACTCATAAAACAAAAATTAAAAATACAAGCAATATATGAACAAAGACATTTCTTCATTTAGCTGAAGAGTTCTCATTGGTTGACATATGGAGGATAAAAAACATAGATGAAAAGGATTTCACCTTTTTCTCTGCTCGACACAAAACGTGGTCTAGGATCGATATGGCATGGATATCGACTTCACTTATAAAAAATATAGAAGAAACAGAAATTTTACCATCAACCTTTGCGGATCATAACCCAATCATGTTATCTCTAAAAAACACATGTAGGAAACCTAGGTGGACAATGAATTTAGATATCTTAAAAGATAAGGAGATAATAGATAAAACCAAAAATATAATAAAAGAGTTTTTCAAGATTTCAAGATTAATACTTCTAAGGAAACCCCCGTAGAAGTAATCTGGGATGCCTTTAAGGCCTATATAAGAGGTTGGTGGATTAATCAGAGTGCATGGAAAAAGAAACAAAATAACAGAAAATATGATATATTGAAACTAAAAATACAAGAGGAAGAAAATAAGATAAAAAATAATAAGAGGGATTCAAAGAATATCAGACTCAAACTAAATAAGTTGCAACATCAACTTAACCTACTCTTAACTCAGGAGGTAGCAAAAAAAATAGAAACTACTAAATTGTATTAATTTGAAAATGCTAATAAGCCCACGAGGTGGCTGGCATACAAATTGAAAAAAGACAGAGAAAAGAATAATCAAATCACTAAAAAATGAGAAAGGAGAGGAGAAGTCCTCACAAGAAGATATTAAAGAAATAGTAGAAAATGTTTATAAATGCCTGTATCAAAAACTGGATGTACAAGATTATCAAGATAAATGGGAAAAGGGTAAATTTAACAAAGAACAAATAGCAATATTAAACAATCCGATTACACCTTTTGAAATAACAGAAGCAATACAAAATGGGACAAAACGAAAAACCCCAGGCTCAGATGGTATTCCCACAGAGTTTTACCAAATATTTGAAGATCAGATTCTAGACCCATTTAAAGAGTTAATACAAAATATTCCTAAATCAAATAAAATTCCCACCTCATGGAATGAAGCTATAATAACTCTGATACATAAACCCAATTCGGAATCTCATTAAATACAGACTACAAATTATTCGCAAAAATTTTGGCTAACAGATTGAAAAAGGTATTAATTTACATAATACATAAAGACCAATCAGGATTTCTACCTAAAAGAAGAATACAAAATAATATTAGAAATATAATCAATGTGTTAAAATATTATGAACTTCATCCGGGGAAACCAATGATATTAACTCTATTAGATGCAGAAAAAGCGTTCGATAATATTAATTGTAATTACATGTTTAAAAAATTTAAGGTCTGGGAATGCAGGAACAACTTCCTTACTATGATAATGTCTATATATAATACCCAAAATGCCAAAATTCTGGTTAATGGGGAACACACTCAGAATATCCCCATCCAAAAAGACACTAGACAGGGTTGTCCCCTATCTCCCATACTGTTTATTTTTACTATTGAATCTTTAGCTGAAAGGATAAGGAATAATGAAATGATAAGAGGTTTGAAAGTAAGAGGTGAAATTTTTAAACTGCAAGCTTTTGCAGATGACGTGATTGTTATATTAGAAGATCCAGAATACTCTTTAAAGTATCTACTAGAAGATATTCAGGAATTTGGGAACTTGGCAGGCTTTAGAATTAATGCTCAATAGACTAAAATTTTGGCTAAAAATTGCCCACAGGAAATGATACAAGGAATAAAAGAGATATCAAAAATTGAAATTGTGGAAAAAGCGAAATACTTAGGAATATGGATTTCAAACAAGTCATCGGCGTTATATGAAGATATCTACAACAATTAAAAGACATAAAAGGGGATTTAAAACATTGGGAGAAAATACATCTTTCTTTATTGGGCAGGATTGCGACAGTTAAAATGAATATCCTGCCAAGATTCCTTTTTCTGGCACAGAATTTACCAATACTTAAAAACTATAAGTATTTTAAAGACTGGGAGAAAATTATAAATAACTTCATTTGGCAGTCTAAAAAACCGAGAATAAAAACTAAATACCTTCAGGACAGCAAAAAGAGAGGAGGTTTTGCACTGCCCAATTGGCAATTGTATTATTTAGCAGCTTTAATGGTATGGGTCAAAGAATGGGCAGTGCTAGAAGACCTTAGAACATTAGCATTAGAAGGTTCAGATTTAGTAATGGCATGGTACGGGAAGGATAAAATACACTCTAATTTCCATACACATATAATTAGAAGCTCTCTCATTAAAGTGTGGAACATAATAAAATATAAAAACTATACTAAAATACCAGTATAGATATCTCCGATAGAGGCATTTGCTAAACCCTCACTTAAAGTAGGGAAAATTAATGATAGCTACGGTAAATTATTAAATAAACAAGCTGAACTGAATTTGGATGAGACTTTAGTGAAACATAACATAAAATTATCCCGGTGGGGAAAAAATGTATTAAAATCACAGTATAATGAAGATTAAAAAATAGGAGTCTTCACTAGTTTAAATGAATTTGACAAAATCTGGTTATCTTCCAGTGATAAGCTTATACAGAAACTCTACACCATGTTAATAGAGGACTTTTTACAAGAAGAAATTATAAAAATGCCAATGTTAGCTTGGATAAAAGAGATTGGGCACCCAATAGAGAGAGAAGATTTTATTGTATTTAGCCATAGGCCATTACAAACCACAGACAGAGAAGAGCACAATAAAACACAAAAATTGTATAAAATAAGATACAGTCCAACATTATAAATCCATAAAACCGAGGTTATGAACAGTTAAAACCGAGGTTATTAACAGTTAAAACCGAGGTTATGAACAGTTAATTAATTCACAACATACCCACTAAAATCAGTATTAGCTAGGAGCAGCGTTGGCCCGTATTTTCCTTGCAGTCAAGGCAAATAAAGCCATTCTATGGGATACATCAGCATTGGCATCGGCTAGCAAAAATATAATCTTCTCTGAGACTGAATAAAAGCTTAAAACTGATAAAATACCAGATAAAAATTTTGACCTAGGCAGAACAATGGACTAAAACATGGAATTCATTAAAATTTATGAGGGCTACCCCATATAAGGAAAACATATATAAAATGTTCTATAGGTGGCATTGGACCCCTGCTAAGGTAGCAAAGTGTTTTCCAAAGGCGTCCAACTTCTGTTGAAGATGTGGAAAAAATGTAGGAATGTACCTCCACATATGGTGGAGGTGTGACAAAATCCAGAAATTTTGGGGAAAAATTGCTAAAATATTTCTTGATGTTTTAAAAAATCAATATCAATTTAATACCAGAAATATGGTTACTTAACATGATTCCGGACCAAAAAAACCCCCATACACAAATAATTACATATTTCCTAACCACAGCCAGAATATTGATAGCAAGGTGATGGAAATCAAAAAATATACCTTCGATAAGAGAACTCAAAAACAAGATACTTGAGATAGCTGAAATGGACAAGTTGACTATAACTACAGAATAAGCCAGAGGAAGTTTTTTGGAAGAGATGGGAAAAAATATATGACTGGCTGAAAATGAAGAAGATAAATTAGGAAGGGGGAAATGCTAGTTAAAGATAATAATTGTTAAATTAGAAAGATGAACCTTTTATTTGGAACAGTTTGAATTCTAAATGGATTTGTTTTGGTTCTTTTATTGTTTGTTTTTTAACATTTTATTTTCCGTTTCCACAAACAAATAAACTGGCCTTCCTTCAGTGGTAATAGTCAAGATTCTACCTTTCAATCCAGCCTTCCTCACCAAGTTGATATGAAGATACAGAATTTTTCTACTTTGCTCAATGTGAACGGTTACAAATATATAAGAAACTCATCTGAAAATGCTGAATAATATGAACCTACACCCTTTGGGGGAGCTGTGGAAAGTTTTTTGGGGGGGGTTTTAAACAGTGTCAGCATCAGCTAAAGAATGAGGAACCATGCAGGTACGTCAGAAGACTGGCTAACCATTTACAGTCACAACTACAAGGAACATTCAACTTGTAATCCAGGCTCCAAGAGTCTCTTTTGTTTACCTAACCCTCCCAATGAGCTAATTGTGTCCCGGCTATACTGTGATCACTGTCTGCAAAGCACTTTGAAGATTAGTCACTAGCTAGGCACCAAACATAAGGAACATCTGCAAAGAAATCAAGTGCTACCAGGTATGGCTGCACCTTGGAATCCCTGGAGAACAGAAGCCTTCCCAGGGGAAGCTGCCTCACAGGGAGCTTGGGCTGATGATCAGAGATAAGAGAGCTCCCTATCAGAACAGGATTAACACCAAATGCTGCAGGTTTGTCTATTCACATCTCTTCTACTAAGCT